GAAATCAGACTAACAGAACCTCGGGAAAAGCTACATGAGCCATTGTTACAAATCCAGTGATACTTAAAACAAGCCAGCCTGTGCAGACGATCAAGTTCGGACCTGACCTTCACGCAAACTCTTGAAGACCACTTAATTGCCGCATACATAAGCACAGCAAAAAACCATTCCACAATTTTGTATTTTATATCACAGGTACTGCCGATGAGTACTTAAAACACTCACTCTTGAAGACTTCCAGGGATGCATGGAATCATGGAAAGAACACTGGGATCGCTGTATCCATGTCCAAGGGGACTACTTCGAAGGAGACGGTGGAAACTAGGAGTTATGACAAGCAATGTTTTATGGGCAAGCACCTCGTATGTTTAAAAGAAAGGTGGTGTGGCTGACAGGACCAAAGAATTTCTTCTAAATATATCTCCCATATGTATATGTACTGTCCTACAGGATAATAGAACATGGAGAATTACATGTTGTAAATATAGTCACCACATCAATGATGACCCATAGGTTCTCTCGTAAAACAATTGAGAGATACAATTTTCTCCCGGTCTGCTGAATTTGAACGTTAAATATCTAACCTGCCGGTGCAGTGGGAGATGATCCAGTGCCCTTTGTAAAACGGTCCCTAGATGCAATTTGTCAGACTCCAGTGCGGTGAGACGAAATGTTGGGGCTTTCGGGGACCCAAGTACGGTGGCTTGTCCGCGCCGTAGCCTTGCGGTCTGAGGCATCGTGCTTCGGACCGGCGATACGGAATGCGCGCTGGTTCGAGTCTCGGGGGAGAAGAAATTTTCTCATGAGCTTTCGACCAGTGTATGGGACCGGTGCCAACCCAGCATCGTGAGGAAATTGGGGAGCTGCAATGAGTAGCGCAATCCGGTCAGGAAAACTAGCAATGGCTGGTGGTTTGTCGTGCTGACCACATGTCGCCCTATATCTGGTTGGATGATCGTTCACCTCTGCTGAGGCATGTGAACGTGAGGCCAGCAGCCAGCTAGTCGGCTTGGCTCACAGAGGGCTGTTACGCCACGGATTAAGTACAGTGGCTTACACCTGACCGAAGTAAGCCAGACTAGCCCGCATTTTCCGCGGACTGCCACGAGGAGTGACTTCTTCTCAAAACGGAACTTCGCATAGGACACTTTTGCGGTGTGCAAACAGGAGCTATTTCTTGGCCATCGCTGTGTTCAGACCGTTCACCCCGCCTCCTGTCCAACAGATACCAAGATAATCCACGCGGGTCAATGCGGTCGGAGCTTAAAGCGGATCACTAATCTCAATTTATTGCTGATGTTAAAAATGCACGCGATTTTACTTCCACTCCTTCACACGTGATGGCGTGGTACTTAGTACAGGGACTTGTACTTTCTGTATCTTTGTAGGTTTTATAGCTTAATGCGTTGTCCGAATCTGTTGAGACTCAGAAACATATACATTAATGTTCATTAGGCATTTAAAGCATGTCCCTTATTCTAATTGAAGAGAATCCCATCATCATCATTATCAGTCAGGGAGTTAGGTCATATAAACCCGTCCGTGCCTCTTAGTTTCAAAACTCTCTTCTGCTGTCTTATAGGGTTTCTTCGTCCACATGATGTGCAATATTTTAATAATTTTGGAACTCTCTTCCTCTGCATTCTGTTAACATGTCGATGCCAATTGTTTTTATATTTCAAAAATTTGTCTTAAACGGGTTCTGTTTTTAAATCTTTAAGAATTTTTTCATTTCTTATATAGTATATCCAAGTGTACTTTTCAGTGCGTCTCATAAATTTCATCTCAGCAGCTGTAATTCTGTTTCTGTCCTTTTTCAATGCCCAGTTATTACAGCGATGTAAAATTTTGGGTAGTGCCAAAGTATTATATATTTTTATTCAGGTTCGTTTTTGGACTTTTGATGGTTTAAAAATCACGTTGATAAGCCCGTAACTTTCAGAAAAGAAAAATATATCCTCTTTCGGTTATTTAATTTTATATTTATTTACGCTTATTTATTTGATTTTCCTTGCTATATATATATATATCAGTTCGTCTTGTAGTAATTCCGACAGTACTCATCTGTTACATTTGTTTACAGTTGTGTACCCTTCCAGATGTATTTTGCAGAATTATAACCAACGTAATGTTCACAAAAAGGTCAATTTTATCCCATTCAGTATTCTCCGGTCAACCGTTTAATAGTTTAAAAAATTCTGCATATCATTCACATCACATCATTTAGATAAAATGTTAGTGTAAAAGGTCATTAAAAATATTTCTTTCTTTCATATCTTCATCTCCTATCCTCGTTCTTAAGTTATCAATTTAAAGCTATCTAACTCTTCTTCTGCCGTTATTTCGTATGATGTTCCATCATTTCATCCCTTTCAACGCAGAATTACAATGGAAATATCAAACATGCTACGTGTCTACTACGTTCAAGTCTCGATCCGGAGACCGGCTTTACTGAGATATTTCTCAGTTCCTGTAAGGAAATTCCGGTGTAGTATCTCAAAATAGTCCACTACCTTTTCCTTCCACATCATTTCTAAGTCATATTCATTCATACCACGATTTTCAGTTTGTGGCGTGAAAAACAAAACTCGAATAAAAAATTTACCCTTCGTTATTCCAACGTTTTCGTCACCCATATTTTAAGCTATTCAGAAAGCTACCTAACGGTTGTAGCACTTGTAAAGTGGCGCACTTTTCAGTCTTTCTTGAGCACGTGTAGGCCTCTATGGGCGCAACCAAACATGGATCA